GATATGAGCAGAAACGTAATAGCATGGTAAGCTTACAAACACGTTATTTTCATTTGGAAATCGCTTTGTTTTTGTTTTGTTGTTAAAGAATTACTTTAACATAGTAAGTGAGAAGTCATATGGTGCTACAAAATGTGATCTTAAAGAAAGACAAAATAAGTAGCAATGAAAGCATTGTATGAAATTAAATAATTTATCAATCCTATTTACATGTATAAAATCAATTGGAGGAATTAATATGCCAAAGGTTGTAGATAATTGATTCCATTATATAAAAAGATTCTGGTTTAACCAAGGGGTTGTAGATTTTATAATTCTTAAAAAGTTTCCCATATAGACAAAAAACAAAATTACTCAAATTACCATGACATTAGTTTTGTTAGTGAGACTCGATTCCATTCAATATATATTACAATTATAAATATTTCTATAAATAGTCTATAACAAAATTACTTAAAATTTTTAAGTTGCAAAGACTTGAAGTGTTACTTATCTTCAACAATATTGTGTAATTTGCGAAATGCTCTACCATTGAATCATAAATCATTAAATGGTAAGAAATATTTTTTTAAAAATAAATTGCGAAAATAGATAAACTTTATTATAGCAGCAAAATATATAAAATTGACAAACTTTTTGTAAATATCATGTAACTTATTTAACTAATGTTGTTACATTTTTATGGATCATTGATCTAATGCATAGTTTAAAATTATGCTTAAAACATAATATATTTATAATTTCACATGCGGTGTGTTTTAGGTTTTCTATTATGTATTTTTTGTAGGAACTACTTTCTTACATTTAATAATTACAAATACAAATCAACCGTAATTTATAAAATAGAAAATTAATTATACTGTGATAGAAGAATAAGATCATCCATTTCATTTAAGATAGGCAAAACTAAGAATTTTTAGTCTGGTAGATACTTTTATTACATTCTACATCACCTATTGTTAATTTTGCTCAGTATAAATTGGTAATTAATTTTAATATGTTTTATTTGATGAATGAAGTCCCTCGACCTCGGGAATCTGAGTTGTAATTAAATTATTTTTCATTGGTGACAAACGACTGGAGTCATAAGGTAGCCTTTAAATAAAGAAATTGACCTTATTGGGATGACCTACTCGTTATTTTCATTAGCATTTTAAATTGTAACTTTTGAGTCAGATCTGTATTAGGTACTCCTTCGTGAATTACTTACAATCTATTACCGTAAAAAATAACGCATGTGAAAAATTGACTGGGATATTTTATCGTATCTTTTCTTTTTGTTCATATGATAGGTAATTTTGTTTCTATTTTCCTGTGTGAAATTATTTCTTTTTTATTTGTTTCAGAATATAAGGTACACAAATAAAGGAAACATGAATAGGATTAATTAATTATGTATTTGTAGCATGATTTATTAATTAAATGGAATATGTGCGACTTTAAGAAACAGTTAGCTGAGACTTCGTGTACGACAGGATTATTTTTGTCTGTTTTTAAAGTCATACCTATAACTGTTACTGTGGCGTGTTCGAGCTTTCGTGGCTAATTCAACATGCCAGAAATTTGTTCCTAATGGTCAATAACGGCACATCTTTACCGGCCCGAAATCGGCTGCCATTGCCTTGGCTGCTTACTGTCTACTTATTTATATTACTTTTGTACCTCTCTATTAACAAACAAAGCAGCAATCGACAATTTTATGTAGCCGCCTTTGATCCTGAGAAACAGCAGTTTACACCAACAGATCTAATGCCACCAAGCTCTAGCCATAACAAAAGTGAGTTGTCCTTTTTATTTCAGTTTTGTTTCTACCGAAGATACAGTTTTCCTTATTATTCTTTACTTGTTTTTCAGTTTGTAACAGTGTCGATATTCGAAATAGTTTAGAGCACTTTGGGCAGTTGAAGGGGTGCCAAGTAGTGGAAGGCTTTGTCCAAATACTTTTGTTCGATATAGTGAACGAAACTCTTCTATCAAACATAAGTTTTCCAGAGTTAAGAGAAATTACAGATTATTTGTTACTTTACCGCGTAATCGGTTTACGTAGTATAGGACAACTTTTCCCAAATTTGTCAGTGATTCGAGGTAGGGAACTGTTTAACGGCTATGCGTTTGTAGTTTTTGAAATGTCAAGTCTCCAAGAGATAGGATTGTACTCATTAACTGACATATTGCGAGGTCAAATACGAATCGACAAAAATCCTTCATTGTGTTTTATTAATTCGATCGATTGGAATTTAATCGCTCATGAGAAAGGCGATCATTTTATTAAAAGTACTAAACCTGAAAACGAGTGTCCTATATGCCCAGGGGACGACGTGAACTCTTCGGATCTAAATTTCCATATTTCTTCTTGCCCCAAGGCCAAACATCGGGGTAGTAATGTACCCATCAATAGGCGCTTGTGCTGGAATAGGCAACATTGTCAAAAAGTTTGCCCCCCTAATTGTAGTGCGTGCAATAACAGAGGTGAATGTTGCGACAAAAAATGTCTAGGTGGATGCTCCGGCGAAAAACTAAACGTTTGCGATGTTTGTAAGGAGTTTAGTATAGAAGGCGGTAATCACACAAGATGTGTAACAGAATGCCCAAAAGACAAATATGAGGTACGTTTATAATTTTAATAAAAAAAATAATGTTCTCAATAGAAAAGCTGCTTTTGGTTTTAGTATATGGAAAGACGTTGTATAAATAAACAAACGTGCATCAATTTGGAACGACCAATGGAGTTGAAAGAAAAAATACCTTTTGACTACCCATTTAAAATATTCAAAGATAAATGTATCATTAAGTGTCCTGCTAACTATATGGACGACTATAAAAACCACGAATGTAAACTTTGCGAAGGTACCGAAAATTAATTACTTGTTTTCTTTTGTATTAAAATTACAAAAGAATATTTATTTTCATTGTCATTCTATTGAGACATAGAGAAGTACATTTCGATATTTCCAAATAAAAGGAACAGTTGTACATACTGTGCATTAACTTTCCCTTCTTTTGCAGGTAGGTGTAAAAAAATATGCCCTGCAAGTAGAATAGACAGTATTTTGGCAGCTCAGCAGTTACGAGGTTGTACACATATCAATGGCTCTTTAGAAATTCAAATAAGAGGTGGTAGTAAGTATTTTTGTAATGGGTATGTGTTTTCTTAATTAATTTCTAACAATTTTTTAAAGGAAATGTGGTAAATGCATTAGATGAAAACTTAAATATGATAGAGGAAATAGATGGTTATTTAAAAGTAGTTCGATCATTTCCGTTAGTGTCCTTTAATTTCTTGCGGAACCTTAAAGCTATCAATGGTCACACATTGGACAGTGACAAGTAACCGTTTACAGACATATATATATATACATATACATAAAAAAATCAACGTTATTTATTGTTTAAGGTACGTTTTTGTTGTTCTGGACAATCAGAATTTGCAGGATTTATGGGATTGGAAAAATAATCGAACTTTAAAAATTGGCAGAGGAAAATTATTTTTCCATTTCAACCCCAAACTGTGTTACTATAAAATTCAGGAATTGCAACAGAAAACAAATTTGCCCGAATTAAAAGAACTTGAAGTGGCTTCAAATTCAAACGGCGATAAAATAGCTTGTATGTATGCAACGAGCCAATGCTAGAAAGCACATAGTTACATCTAAAACTAAATCAGAATTATTTTTTTTGTAGGTAATGTTACTGATTTACAAGTAAATGTTACCACAATTGATAGCCAAATGGTTTCTCTTTCGTGGGTACCTTTTAAGTTATACGATCAACGAAAACTGTTAGGGTACATCGTTTATTCAATGGAGGCCCCTTATAAGAACGTTACCCTATATGATGGTCGAGATGCTTGTGGAGAGGATGGGTAATTTAACTCTTTCTATATTTACGTGTTTTTGTATTTTATTTTATTTTTTAAGGTGGAGAGTAGATGACGTAGGTACTCAAGACGGCAATGACGGATATATAAAACATTCGTTGGTGGGATTGAAACCGTTCACCCAGTATGCTTACTATGTAAAAACATACACAATAGCAACTGAACAAACAGGAGCGCAGAGTCGTATCTATTACTTTAAAACATTACCAGATGGTGGGATTATTTAATATAGTTAAACTTTTTTTTTGTCTAATTATTATTTTTAGTGCCTTCACCTCCTCATGAAATAGAAGTCGTGAGTAATAAGAGTGATGCCCTCTATATCAAGTGGAGTCCTCCTCTCGATCCTAATGGTAATGTCACTCATTATATCATAATAGGCCAGAGAGATAATACCACAGATGATAGAGTTGATAGAAATTATTGTGAAGAACGTAAGTATATATGCAAATTGTGAATGTGAAAAAAATGATAAATGACTTTGTTTTTAGCATTGATACCTCCTAAACCTATTATCAAAGTAACTCCCGACTCTGTTAAAGTAAAATCCAATGATACTTGTTCCTGCGATGGTGATTCAAAGCATAAAAATAAAAAAATTGATCGAGAAAGAGATGCTCAAAATCAAATCAGTTTTGAAGATGAACTTCAAAATACTGTATATATAAAAAAGTATGCCATTTTTTTACGTATCTAATTTAAAATTTTAAAAAAGTTAGGTATTACATTGTGAAAATGAAAATTATAAATTGTTTTCATAGTTAATAAAGTTTATTCATTGTTTTCTCTTTCAGAGACGAGCGTAATAAAGGAAGAAAACCTAGAAGTGTTGACATTCTTCATAGCGGCCTTCAGCTCACAAATTCATCAAATAATTCTAAAAACGCTCCCAATAAACAAGGTGCGTACATTCAATCGCAACATTTTATTGAATAAATGAATACTTTTTATGCTTTATAGATCCACAAGACTACTTTTTCTTTAACGTCACTGGTAAAACGGATATTTATATAACGAATGTTCGTCATTATGCCAATTATTATATATTTATTAGCGCATGTCGAGAAAAGGAGAGTGAGGAAAATTATGAAACCTATTTGCTTCGTAATTGTAGCGAAGATGCAATTGCAAGTGCTCGAACGGAAAAGAAACGTGTGTATTAATGTTAATTTCTATTTTCATATTTATATATTTTAATGACATTACAGCGGGAGCTGATAATATTACAAATCTTCGCGTCACAAATAACAGTTTGGGTATGGTGTCACTAACATGGGACGAGCCTGCTTATCCTAATGGAGTCATATTAACATACATAGTGGAATATAAAAGAGTGGACAATAAAAACGTAATTCTATATTTATATGTTTCAACTTATTAAATAATAATTTATTTCTTGTTTTAGGCAAATCCTGTAAGTCAGTGTATTCTTAGAAAAGAATTTAAGGAGAAAAATAATATACATGTATTAACACAATTAAGTCGGGGAAATTACAGTGTGAGAGTTGCAGCTGTTTCTCAAGCCAGAAATGGACAATATTCAGATTTCATTTACTTTTATGTTGAAGAATACACCACAACAACTCGCACAAAAATATTTGTATTAGTGTTTCTCTCAGTTTTATTGGTAAAATAATTGACTTGATGAAAAAATATTTTGTTTAAATTTTTTTTGACATTACAGATTTTGGGGCTGACTGGTAGCGCCTATTTTTACTGGAAACGAAAATATAGTGCTTCAGTGAAAGGAATGAAACTTATTGCTTCAGTAAATCCCGAATATATAAGTGCTTTGTATGAACCAGACGAATGGGAAGTGCCGCGTAAAAAAATAGTACTCACAGAGGAAATAGGCCAAGGCAGTTTTGGAATGGTTTATAAAGGTATCGCTAAAGATATTAAAGGAAAATCTGAAATTAAATGTGCCGTCAAAACTGTCAACGAACATGCAACAAACAGGTAATAATAGTTTTTAAGTAGGATAGATAAATAGTTTAATTTGCTTTTGGTACGTGTTACATAAATTGGTTAGCTGTGTATGTCTCATACGTACAGTGGTTAGTTTTGGTGGAAAACTGAAAGCTAGGACTACCAAAACTACCGAAACAGTCGCTTAATGTTTCTTTAATGATTATGAGTTCTGAGAATGAAATCGGATGGTAAATTTGTGTGTTTGAATGGTTGATGTGAAAGAACCTTTTGACATTGCTACTGCATACCATCTACAGAAATACCCTTCCCTAGCTTTCACTGTGTTAAAGAGAATCCTTTGCGATTCTTATCTTTCTCACTTTACATTATAGAGAAAGGATAGAATTTTTGAACGAAGCTTCAGTGATGAAAGCATTTGATACAGCTCACGTGGTTCGCCTTTTGGGCGTGGTTTCACAAGGTCAGCCAACCTTAGTAATTATGGAACTTATGGCAAATGGAGACTTAAAATCATATTTAAGGTCTCATCGAGTTGATGCAGAAAACTTTACTGGTAAACAACCTCCTACATTAAAGAGAATCTTGCAGATGGCTATAGAAATAGCCGATGGTATGGCTTACTTGTCTGCCAAAAAATTTGTACATCGAGACCTAGCGGCTCGCAATTGTATGGTAGCTGAAGATTTAACTGTAAAAATAGGCGATTTTGGAATGACGAGAGATATTTATGAGACTGATTATTATCGAAAGGGTACAAAGGGCCTTCTTCCAGTAAGATGGATGGCCCCGGAGAGCTTGAAAGACGGTGTGTTTACAAGTAGCAGTGATGTTTGGAGCTATGGTGTAGTTTTATGGGAAATGGCCACTTTAGCTTCTCAACCATATCAAGGTCTTTCCAATGACCAGGTTCTTAGATATGTAATTGATGGCGGAGTAATGGAACGTCCTGAAAATTGTCCAGACAAACTCTACACTTTAATGCGCTTCTGTTGGCAACACAAACAAAATATGCGACCGACGTTTTTAGAATTAGTTTCTCATTTAGAAGACGATGCTATGCCGGAATTTGCACAAATTTCATTTTATCATAGTTCAGCAGGAAAAGAAGCACGAAATACTAATACAAATGCATCGCTAAATCAAGACGATCCTTCTACTCCTTTGCATGTAGCAAGACAGTTGAAAGACTTTTCTGTCGAAAGTTCGGAGGATGACTCTGAAATGGAGGATTTGAATGCCGATTCTTCGGCTCATATGAATTCGCCCATCAAATTGCCGAATGACTATTCTCTGCAGTCTAATCAACAGCTGCAGTCGTCGTTAAAAGAAAACCTCGCTATAAACGGGTTCGTCAATGACAGAACAACAAACGGTTCTGCAAATACACAGTGTTAGCTACTACAAATCGAATACATCACTTTATACACACAATCCCCCTACCCCCTGTTATTACAATTGTGCAGTATTCGTTATACAGATCTGACCAAATAAGGCTAAATAAGTTTTTTGTACTATACTTAACCAAAGATATATCTTCATCCGTATTTTTTTGATACAGTCGAAGAGGGTCTTCCCGTCAAAAGCAAAATGGTGTTCATTAATAGTTAATGTGTACATTGTACATAATTAGGTAGATATACAAATACAAATAGAAACGAGTGGTAGTAGCCTATTAAGAAAAAAAAAACACTGTTAACGACAGCTTGTGTTGTGTCAGACTACTTTTACTTATGCTGCTTGTTACGTACAATTAAAAGTATACATCGACCGATTTATCATCCTAAACTGGTTCGCAACCAAAAACATTGCTAACCGCAAATAAATACATATAGTTTTTAAAATTTTTAATATATAACGGTGTGAGTGATTAAAAAAAAAAAACAACTAAATGCCTTGTCTTTATAGATAATATAAAAAGCAAATGAAACAATATTTTCGGTGGACCTTCAAGTTTAATTTATTTTCATTTTAATCCTAAATTTTCTTTTCTTTACGTTTGTTATGGGAAAATACTTGCAAACATGTTCTCTTTGCAATTGTTGTATATTTACGTAAAAGATTTTTATAATTAACAGTTATGAAACTTTCTTGATTGCTTTCGAAAAGCTTATTTATGCGTCGTTATTCGTGAAATATTGCGTTGTTGCACCTACGTAAGATTTAAAAGTCTAAATAATATACTGTACTGTTTGAATAATTAACCGTAATCGTTTATGAGTTACATTTTGATGTTCTAGATAAATTTTTTAAATTGCATATTAATTAAATGAGAAAGAACAAATTTGCAATCAAATTTGTACATTTAATGTTCTCAGATGGGTAATGTGTATAATGTAATTTTTGGATTCGAATAAAAAAAATGCTTAGTTTATAGAGAAGGTATTTCGAAATATAAAAAAAAAGGTCCACTTACGGCTGTTTTATACACCTAGTTATTTACTTACACCCAATCACCCAGTATATAATAATGATGAATAGAATTCGAATTTGCCTGTGTTTTAGTTCCTGTTAATCTATCATGATGGTAGATAATAAACAATTTGTTACTGTACCTTCTGCTATTTATATATATTCAATTGTATTTTTTACAAAGTGAAACTGTANTTTAATTTTGTTTTTGATTAATGAAGCATGTAATTCCCGGAAAACTCATTAGAAATTTCCCATTTTAAATGGGAAAACAAATTACTTTAATTATTGGTACTGATTGCATGTGTCAAATTAAAAAAGGTTTATTTTTACAAATAAAAAACGGCTTTATTTTACGCAACATATAAAACCACACACATAATCATCTGAAGTAAATGTAATGTGATTTATTTTTATCGTTCGTTTAATAATCATCGATTATATTGAATGTGGTGTTAATTTTGTTTTTGATTAATGAAGCATGTAATTCCCGGAAAACTCATTAGAAATTTCCCATTTTAAATGGGAAAACAAATTACTTTAATTATTGGTACTGATTGCATGTGTCAAATTAAAAAAGGTTTATTTTTACAAATAAAAAACGGCTTTATTTTACGCAACATATAAAACCACACACATAATCATCTGAAGTAAATGTAATGTGATTTATTTTTATCGTTCGTTTAATAATCATCGATTATATTGAATGTGGTGGAAATTTATATGCAAATTGGTATAGGTAGTAACTAACGGTTGAATAATAATGCGGAAGGAATTTTTTTACACAATTTATAAATTTTAAAAATGCTTATTTTTTCCATGAAAAGTACAATTAACTTTCACTTAATTGTAGGAACGTATTGCTTTTTTTAGCACATTTTCTGTTAGCGCTTTTAAAAGTTTTTGCTGCAATATGGAAATATTTTATTATTTTTGCACAAAAGACCAATTAACTTTGAAGATAAATTGAAGATTTACTTCTAATATACTGCAAAGGACAAAGAAGTCATACACTGTAGAATAAATTTACCAGCCCTTACATACCAAGAGGTAAATATTATAGTTTTTTTTTTAAGTAATTACTAGTCAATTTATTTTGCATATATTTATTTTAATGCAGCTTTTTTACTTTTACATTTTTATTTATAATTTTTTTATTTTATTTGCATTGTAGGTAATTGTTTATTATAATCGGTTTTGAAAAGGGATGTTGGCATTATTACGGTCAATACGGAGGGATAACAAACATTCCCTTTGCACATGGTTATCCGACTCGTTGCTCAGCTGAATCGAACGGCAAGGTTGATCAGGGTGGTCTGGGATTGTACCGTTGTCCCGGACGAAAGCAACGGGCAACGGAGCTGGTGTAGAGTAGGTAACCACCACGACGCTGGACCCGTTGCCGATTGTGACGAATTAGCGCAGACTCTCCAAGGAAATCAGCGACGTCTTCCTAGGCTACGGTACGTACTCTCCACTGGTATACATATATCTACGTATGCTATATGTACATTTATGTATGCAACGTTAGTATACCATCTGTCACAAATACTTCATCTTAAATACTTTAAATATTTCTGTCTACTGTATCACAAGATAGAAAGATTATTTTACTACCATCATAAACTGAAAAACAATTATTCTATATATTTTTTAATTGCAACATATAGTTGTATACGAATTCTTTAAATTGAATTAGGTATAAGTACATCCAGGCAAAATATGAAGTTCACTGACAATAAGTCAACTGTTTTGGATGGATTAATTTACAAAATTAACCAGATACGTAAATAAATTAATGCTAATAGTATAATATTTTTTTAAATGAACTGAGTTAATTTAGATACATATTTTGATCAAATTCAAAATGCTTTAATTTTATTGTATCGCATAAAAAAGACGCAAGTGGATAGCCAAATAAATTAAAGTTGCACTTTAAACAAAATAGAAGTAATTTTATTGTCCTGTTTTTGCAAGTGGTTTCTTTGAGTAGGAATATATTAAAACTTTAATGGATAAATAACAAAAAGTTTGTTAAACATTTTGTTGTGTTTTTTTGTTATTAATGGAGTTACAATAAGTATAATTTTTGTTATATTATTTCAAAAGTGCTCAAATGGATTAAAGCAAGTAAACTAATGTTGCACCATCGAGGAAATAGAAGCAATTTTATTTTGAGTTTTATTTGATAAGTCTGCTTAGCCTGTATATATAAAACTATTTTGCTTTAATCTAGACTATATTTTGTTTAATTAAATTATGATTAGATGTATAAAATTAGGTAATCCTTTTAATGTGTGACTAATAGTATAGTTATACATTTGCCGTCACGATCTAACTGAAGGTACGTTCTAGGCACGCAAGCCCTGAATTTGGCCTGCCTCCCTTTTACGGATAACACCCTGTCGCTATCAAGTACCACGACGGTCAATGTCTTTAGTCCCGGTCGTTAGCTGAGCATGAACATTACTACTTCTTGCACAGGTGAGCCGATAGCACTTATACCTGTATGTTTTTGCTCACTTCAGCGCTTCTTGTAACAAATTTTCTGTTTCGCATGTAGAGAAATGTGTATATATGTATAAAATTATATATATGTATGTACGATATAGCAGGTCAGTGACCTGTTTGCTGCCCACACATTTTGCGGTTGTAGTAGTAAACAGTAGTAATAGTACACACATACAGTTGGCATGACAAATATAGCTACAAATAGTAAATATCTGCCGAAAAATGTTTTGTGGGAGTAACTGTATATTACCTACTATTACGCAAGAAAAAGAGTAGTACACCTAGAAATTATTCATTGCAATTATCTACCTGTAATTATTAGTTAAAATATTATGCTTCTCTTTAAGCATTATATGTTTTTATATGTTTTTTTAGAATAGCAATGAATTAATTCTTTTCCTAACAACACTTTCTTGCGAAAATGATTCTTTTTCTTGCCTATTTTTCAAATGAAATTTTTCTGGTCTTCGCTAGATAGGTTTTTGAAGTGCTGCGCTTTTGTTTTATTAAACATAAAATATATTTTTCTTAGTAATCGAATAAGCAATTATATTATTAATAAGAAGTATAACTTCTGTATGTGAAGTACCTAGAAAATTTTGAATTTTTGAAATCATACGTAATTATTACGTATAAATGTGTAATATAATTGTAAATTGCAAAAGTATGACCATAAATACGTTCACGTTCATAATTCTGTGAATAATTTACAATACTTGTGAAATGCCTATATATATGCACACGTAAATTAGTTTTCAATTTTTTATAGGGATTACGTTTTATCATGAGGCTGTGAAATCAATAGAAAAAAGGTAAATGATATAGCGTAACTACTTTATTATATTTTATATGTTATAAGTAGACAGTATTTGAAATTCAACTAGTCGTGTCAACCAAAATTTAAAGTTGCATTTATGCAGCTTGATACTAGGTAGTACATTGTACTAAAAAATGATGATTGAACATCAAATTTTTCTTTTCTTCTGAAAATAATAGACCTATTCACTGAAGCTTATAAATGGGTTTCGTGTACAGAACTTACTGAAAATCAATATTCGAACAATACAAAAGAAAATTAGTTTTAAAGTTTATCCTCTATCCCATAGACTTCATCTACTTACTGAAAATTAATACTTTTTTTGTGAATTGTAATTTTGCTTGTTACCTTAAAAATTGGATTAATTTAAGGATTTGACCACACTGTGGTAAAACAACTAATGTTATATAAAGTTTTAATATTTTCATTGGTTAAAACTGTGACATTCATTTCAAGATTAATTTTAAAATTATCTCTGTTTTCTCATATTTAGAGTTCACTTATAAACTTAATGATGAATAAAACTGTAACGCGTCCATAAATTCAATAAGAAAACATATATTTTTTCAGGTATACTTATCCATTTGACTTAATAACGTTATTTTATTAAAAGCGTTAATTCCTTAGCAAAATGGTTTATATATTAATCAATTAATTGGAATCAAGTGGTGATATGTTAGGCCATCAACAGCGACACAGTATCAGTTACTGCAATGAGACTCTACCAAGGTATCTTTATAAATTTATTATTTTATCATTTTAATTTCGCATTTTATTGCACAGTCGATGGGGTAGTTTGGCAAACGAGCACGCTTTTATAGATCTGCTGGATGGCGATCACGCACAAGTACAGCCCTTAACCCTTACCCTTGCACCTATCAATTCTAATATTTATGCTAGAAGACATTCTTCGCACAATTGTCAAAGCACAGTAGATAATGCCACACCGGTAAGATGTTCATCTGTTTTTCTTATGTGTACATAATTTTAAATAAAAAAAGTGAACTTGCACTTTTTTATAGCTTGCGTTATATTTTTTTGTCTATATTGTACATAAGAGCTCGAAATTAATTATTTAATATATGACTATGCACGACAAGTTAATTATTTTCTCGGTATATTTTTATTACCAAAGAAAGATGCATCACAACTGCCGTCATGTTATTAAGATAAAAACACAAATATAGTTATATAATTTTCCTGTTACTAAACCTATATTTGATTAGCTTGAGTGTCGATTTTCTATTTCACCTTTCTTATTATTTTTTGAAGCGCCGAATTATTTGCAAAAGGTAGGAGAGATTGATGGCTTTTCAATAAGGCATAATAATAAGAAAAGTAAGACACCAAAAAATACGGCGTTTCTTGAGATGGAATTGTCAAAAAAATGAATTTCATATCTGCCATAAATTTTTAGATATAGATTTACGATTTTAATTTAACTTTCATAAAAAAAGATCGTTGAAAGTGATAGGAATCAAGTTTTCTATTACTTCATTTTTCCTTGGCAATGCGGCCCTTGAATAGACGGTTGTAGTGATAGTCTTAAATATACGTATAATCGTTTAATAAAAAGTTTCGTAAAACAGTGACTTAATAAAAAATTATTGCCGTAGATACCCCCTCCAGTACCCTTACGTAAACCCCCCGTTCAGAATTCTAATGTTACATTGCCGACATCGTTTCAAGAGGTGACAAATATCGACAGGCGACCACCGCCTCTTCCTCCAACTCCAAAAAATAGAGCATTGCCAGAATCACTTCGACACCACGCAAAACCTCAACCTCCACCCAGAGGTGTTCGTTTTGTTTATTCCGACAAACAATATTCTCCAAAATCTGGCAAACAAACTAATACCTGTCCAAATGTATTTGATTTTACTGCAGCTAATTCAACATCTGTTCAAAAACTTACAAATAACATAAATTCTACCACTAATGCTGGCACAATTTATAGTAACGGAAATGCATGCGAGAAATATAATCGCATTACGTTCCAAAAAAACGTTCAACACAATCAGTCTTCTAATACGAAATCTTTAACACGCCAAGACATGAGTATCTCAAGCGACAGTTGTAGCCAGACGTCATCGCCTTCTTATACAATTAAAACCATGGGAACGCCTTTAATTCCTTTGAGAAACTCGGGAAAGCATCAGAACGGTGGGATTTTTAATAAATTACAAAAAGATGGGAAAGAAGCGAAAGAACGAAATAGTCCCTTAACAAAAAGTGCTTCAACTCCTGCCAGCTTACAAGCTATTGTTAAATTGCAACATGGATCTAACGCTTCTCTACATCACAAGGTAATATATTTTTGTTGTTTATACGGCGTGATCCTAAATATTTCAAAGCAATTTATTAACAATTAGGGAATTTAAAAAATAAATTCTTTTTTACATTAAAATTTCGCATTTAGATTATTAAAGACATGAGAAGACCGTCAAGTATATCTGTTAAAAGAGTGAAACTAAAATTCCAATTTGCCCAAATATTAATAAACGCAGTTGCTCTTTTGGCTATAGGCGGAGGAATGGCAGCTTACCTGAAAGGTAGCTGTAAGTAACTTTTACTTGTAGTTTGTGCAACCTGTCTTAAGATAATTCTTCTTTCAGCTCAACCACCTGCAGTTCAAATAATAAATAAGCCGATAAATTACACCACCAAACAATTTATAGTTTCTCCTTCAACAGTTCCCTCTAACCCAGCTCCTGGAATATGTCTCCCAGTGATAGTAGATTTTTGCCATCACCACAATGTCCCCTACAATTATACTGTATTTCCTAATTACCTAGGACACTTTAGTCAAAGGGACGCAGACCTTGAACTTGAAGCGTACGATGCGGTTGTAGATGTTAGATGTTACGAGCTAGCAGCTTTATTTCTCTGTTCTGTTTTTGTTCCTAAATGTGGAGAATCAGGTGTTATGATTCGTCCGTGTCGCAACCTGTGTGATGGTAAGATCTTTTAGCATTGAAGAAATAACTACGTGTTGATAATTTTCCCATTTTTAACTATTCTCTTATAACTGTAGAAACCAAAAGACGATGTGGCTTTTTCTTAGACGTTTTTGGATTAGCTTTACCAAATTATTTGGAATGTGGTCTTTTTCCTGACTCTTCAGATCCAGAAAAATGTGTAGGTCATAAAGAAGTAATGGAAGCCAAATTACGAGCACAAAAACCGAGTAAATAGTTTTTATGTTGTTGTTCACAACGTTCCTGGCACTGTATTTTTTCCAGTATGCCCATCAGGGTTCCAGTGTGATGTCAGAAGATGTATTCCAAAAGAATGGAGATGCGACGGGCACATAGATTGCAAGGACCAATCTGACGAATTAAATTGCCATAAATGTAGCCCTGGAATGATTCACTGTGGTAACGACCGATGTATGGCGCAAGAACAAATGTGCGATGGAAAAGTAGATTGTCCCATGGGACAAGATGAAAGGAATTGTCGTAAGACTATTTTTTTTTTTAATATTAACTGTAACTAATCGTAAGTGAAATATATGTTATTTTTAGTACGTCTGAGTGAAAGAAATGGAGACGAAGGTAAAGGACAATTAGAGATTTTTCGCCCAGAATTTCAAAAATGGGTCCCTGCTTGTATTACCCACTGGAATGAAACAAAGTCAGCTTTAAATATCTGTTCTTTATTAGGATACTCGTGAGTAAACAATCACTATCTGATTTTCATCAATAGCAACAAATACATTTAATTTTTCCATTTCGTTCTTCCAGGTCTGTTAACTCAAGTCGCCTTTTAAATGGGAGTAATCTAAATTCTGAACTCGTTCAAGAGAACACTGCATTGTGGTGGATGCATCAGAATAGGCGTTCCAAGAACTTGCTACGAGAATTTAGTTCTTGCAAAGGCAGTTATACAACAGTTGATCTAACTTGCACTAATTTTCGTAAGTTGCCATTTCATATTTACCACTTCCTATCGTCAGTTTTGTTTTTCTTAGGTTGTGGTAAAACTAGGAAATCGTATGCTGAAAAGTCATTAAGAATAATAGGCGGAGTTAAATCACGCCCTGGAGATTGGCCGTTCTTAGCTGCACTTTTGGGCGGACCTGAAGAAATTTTTTATTGCGCAGGAGTTCTTATAGCTGATCAGTGGGTTCTAACAGCTTCACATTGTGTCGGCAAGTAAGTAGTTTGATTTGGAACTCTCTAAAATTATGCAAATTACATTATCACATATATTCCATTAATTTAGTCATTCTGATGTAAACGGTTGGACAATTCAATTGGGTATCACTAGGAGGCATGCACATTCATATTATGGTCAAAAAATGAAAGTTCAACGTGTTGTTCCACATCCATTGTATAATGTTGGTACTGCTCACGATAACGATGTTGCTTTATTTCAGGTAGGATAGCAGTTATTCTTCTACAGACCTGTTTTGGTATTATTGAATGATATTTCTATTTTAGTTAGCATCAAGAGTTACATTTCACGAGCATCTATTGCCGGTGTGTCTTCCATCTTCTACTAAAGAACTTCGACCTGGAACTGTGTGTACAGTCATTGGCTGGGGAAAAAAGGAAGACAAAGGAAGTAAGTTGCTGTCACTGTCACTAATTGTGTTAAATGTATACGTTATAATTTATGAGTTGATATTTTTTAAGTGTCAGAATACGAGCCGGAGATCAATGAAGTAGAAGTTCCAGTTTTGAACCGTGAACTTTGCAACGCATGGCTTGAGAATCAAGACCTTAACGTCACCAATGGAATGATCTGCGCTGGTTATAAGGAAGGAGGAAAAGACGCTTGTCAGGTGAGTGAAAACGTTCACAATTGCCTCCTGTCAAAGCGTTACTGTGTTTGTTTCGTTTCGCTAAATAGCAAACTTGCTACTATATTTTCTGGTGTTAATTTTCTGGCGTATAAAACGTTTTCTGATGAATGAATGCTGCATGTAATTATTTTATTAATAGGATACAAAAGTAGGCTTTTAGGCTTTTTCGTTGTGAAATTGTAGTGACGTATTACTTAATAATAAGTAAAACTTTTATATTTAGGGGGATTCTGGTGGGCCCCTTTTATGTAAGGATGAAGAAGATCCTGACAAGTGGTTCGTAGGGGGTATAGTAAGTTGGGGTATAAAATGCGCACATCCTCATTTACCAGGTGTATATGCATATGTTCCCAAATACATACCGTGGATATTAAAACAAATAGCTCTTTATTCAAATTAGACTATCAAAATTGATATGCCGTTTCTAGTAGTCAATATGGTAGCAGGTTACTTCGTAAATGATGTCAAATATTTACAACTATATATATATATATATATATATATATCATAGACCAACAAACATGTAGAGCTTTAATACAACTAAATATTATTCATAAAAAGGAGTACAGGTACTATGAGAAAATAAATAAATAAGGAAAAACGGCTGCAGGAATACATATATAAAGGAATTATCGATAATGGGAACTTATGAATTTATATTATTCTTTTATCAGAATGATTGCTTTTACCTTACATATCACTATAATTAAATAATGCAGACTGATAAGTGAAAGTAAAGGCATCTTTGCTATTTACAAATTATTTTTATTCAGTAGAATCAAAAAGATAATAAGCCAAGATACGGTTAACGTTTTAATCGAATTTTAATTATAACTATCATATTTTTTATTAAACTTATAGTAGGTAAATATTATATATGTATACTTCAAACGAAATCTACTTTAACTGAAAATGAGGTTGTAGCAAAATACACAAACATTTTTAAAACTAAAGGCTGTTAGGTGTCTGCATTGTACGCTTAGAATAAAATAGTCGAACAATTTAATATTCGGCTAAACAGAAACATGTAACATATACATAACTAATAGTTCTATTTGATAACCGAATTCTGTGCTGTGAATTGGACAGAAACTTACGGCCCTTGCGGCTTGCTTATATTATAGAAAGTAACTATTTAGTAATCTTTACCATAAACAAAATTTTGCGAAATTAATAAATTATGCAGCTATGGTACAAAATGTGAAATGGTACAATGTTCTACCCTAATGCTTTAATCTGATGCATTTGTATGTGTAGCAAAGCAGACAATTTAGTTACGCACAAAGAATCTAGATTAATTTTATAGTGATATTTTCTAATAATAAATTCATCTAGTGTTCGAATGGACCGCCACCTACATGTGATCTGTTTATATAGCGTACTGTCATACATGTATGCGTATGTTATACGTTTAGGTAACGTATATATGTACGTCTCTAAAGTCAATTTTGATAATTCAAAAAAAAACAAAAATAAAAAAAAATCGACAAATGTGACAATAATTCGACTTTAGGGACTTTGAAACGCTTAAAATATATTTTATACCCTTAGAATATATATAAAATAAAAAAAACGATTTAGTGAAGAGACATATGCATAGTTTTCTATAGATTTATATACTTAACTAATGATTTTTACGATGAATGGTTTTCTGAATTTCTTATTGTTTAGATGAAATTGGCAAACGTTCGTTACTATATAAAGTGTGTGCTGCTCTGCTATGCTTATTTGCATAAATACTTTCCTAGCTATTTACTTATCCCAAATTTTTTCTACTTCATCGTTAGATAAAATTCTAAAAAATATAGTGAGCCTTATAAGTATAGCGCTATTTATAGTAGGAATCTTTTCATCTTTAAGAATGCTATATATATATTAAAATACTAAAAATTATAAAAATTAAAACCCGGAGAGAACTAAATAACTTAATTAAGGAAATGTTTTTTTATAAGAATGAAGTGTGTCGTTTAGGTAAAGGTTTCGAATTTTTGTAGATAATCCAATAGATTTAACGAATATATATGATATAGTAGAAAAATGTGAAACGATTCAAATTAGTTCTGTAATTTGTGGTGCTTTGATATACCCCATTTTCATAAACTCGCATTTCTAGTCGTAGTGTTTTGTTGCTTTTTCGCTAGTTTAACATCATACTGAAACATACATTATTTTCTTTTCATTTTATTTAAAAAAAAAAACTCCAAATTGCGTACCTAATTCGTCCAAAAAATGCTCCACTATTAATTTTGAACGTTAGTAGATAAATAACGCTTACCGTTTTCATTCGCATTTGTATATTTAACGTAGTTATATTGCTACAACTCATCACTGCCATGTTTAAAAAAAGAAATCTCATAAATGTACATGTACATATATACTCATTTCACTACTACCAGTGAGAATCTTTTTCTCTTAACTCACATCAGTTACTCATTAAAAATTTCAAATTCATACTTTATCAATGATTGACGGCTGTTATAAGAGGCCTAATACATATAAATCTACAGACGTAGGAATTTCTTTTTGCTTATTATAAGGCTGCAACGATAAATATGAAATAAACAGTAACAACATTAACTATAATATTTATGGTAACCTTTTATCAATGCAACTACGCATTTTTACATCAAATGTACTTTCTCACCATCGTATTAAAAGTGTCTTAAAAATGCGATCAAATTTTCTTATAGATTTAACTCATCTTCATTGTAAGTGTATATACATATGACTGTGTTTGAATACTTTTTATAGACTCACGCGCTGATTATAATAGTGTTACTAAGATTGTCAGAATTTCGATATTTTCGAAACATTCATGTGAAGTTTGCCAATTAAATCTAAAGCTATAAGTAAAACGAAATTGCGAATTGTGGGCAATCACTAAGAATATCATATATAGTTAAAAAAGCATACATACATACATACATACATACATACATAACTACATAATAAAACATATATATATATGATAGAAGTAGCAGTATATGTTATTATGTTAAAACATTTTTAAATGAGATACATTAAAACCGTGATCCCTTATTAACTCATGACAATACATATATAATGACAATAGCAGAAAAATATCGAAGTAAATTTAAATAAATACTTGTTTGATGTGAAACTTACAGTTGTAACCGACTCTGTTATGTACTTTTTTAGATACTTAGAATGATGAGTATTGAGTGTTATATTATATCATTTATCGAGCTTAATTATTTTTGAGCTAGTCTTATTAATTTATCTAAGCTTTAGCCATTGTTATATGTTAAAAGGAAAAGGATTGACGTTACAAGCTACCTTCAATCTTAAATGATAGGACTGTGAACCTTCTGTTCGGAATGCATAGGTGCACCATGCTTCCAAACTGCTGAATTGTGACGTACATATGTTGAAATTTTGTAGTCAATATATTATACTGTTATGCTGATCTACATTTTTAATCCTCCTGTCCATTGTTTGTACCAGAATTTAAATTATTGCGCTCTTTTAATATTTAACACCGTAGTGTTGATTAAGTGTATGCAACTTAATATACACCAATGTGTGCTTGGTTGTATATAACGAATTTCAATGTTCCCCAATTATAGCAAAATAAAAACGTTATAAAAACATTTTATTATAATTTTAATACAAAATATAGTACATATATAAATATAATACTCAAATAACAAGCATGCGATTAATCTGTAAACGTTTCATTTTCAACGTCACTTTTACTCGGTAGTATATTACCATATTTCTTTTCTCTCCTAAGTAATTTCCGTTTTCTTCTTCTGAATAATATGAATAGAATAATTAACAGTGCAACTAAAAACACTGCGACTGCTGGTGCAACGTACGTTATTAATTTTTTTTCTAATACAATTTTCTCGAAACGGATCTTGCATTCTTCATAATCCAAAATTTCTCTTTCAGAAAAGTTATAAGTACAGGCTGGAAAATAGAATAATTATCAATCAACGCAGCCAATAGTTAAAGGTCTTAAAGAATAACTTTAGGAAGTTGCAGATTCCCTCTTACTAGCTGTCGGAATAAGCGCTCAGGGTATGTTTTTAAATGCTACATTATTATTTAAATTTGAGGAGAAGCCGAAGTTTAATTAAATTTAATGGTAATAGTAGTATTCTAGTAGTGCTACAAGAATTCTTAATTTAACGCTACTTTGAAATAAACAAATCAATTAATTGTACTGCAATAATAAGAATAGTTATACAATTTTTAATTGGTACATATTTTTGTTAATTTTCTGTCTTTAATATTGTAACCCCTACTTTTGCTTTTCTTCCACTTCTTCTTAACGAAAAATCTGAAGCGCGAAAAGGTACTTATACCTACTTTATGTACCATAATTATTTTAATAAGAAATTACCACTTACCATCTTCAGCTACTGGGCAATTTAAAGGAGTAAATTGTATTCCTTTTAATTGCATCCACTTAGTAAGTTCCCAACAGTCGCATACATCTTCATATTCGGCAGAGAAATGGTTATTTATTAATATCTTTAAATTACATAGTCCTGCGATGTTTCTAAGAGAGAACTTTCTAACATTATTTCCAGATATATTGTAAGTAACTAATGTTGGTAGAATTCCAAATTCTGGGAGCTCTTGAAATTTGTTATAACTAATGTCTATGTGTTCTAAAGGACTTGTTATTGATTTGGTCATATTCACAACTTCGGCTATGTTAATATTTCCATTTTGACTTAGGTAGAGTTTTTTTAGTGAAGGCAAATGAAAGATGACTAGAGGAACTGTATCTAGCACGTTTAACGTTAAATCGAGGCTTATTAAACTTGTTAGGCTGGACAGTGCAGATTCATCAATATTTGATATCATATTATCTGACAGGTATAATATTTTCACGTTGCTGTATCGGCTTAAGTCACCATCCTTTATTGTGCGAATTCGATTGTAGGATAATTCCAAAACCTTAACAAAAAATTAAGTACAATATGAAATATAAAAGTACTATAATTTTAAATCTAAATCTTATATGGTCACTAATCAAAACATAAATTTCTAGTAGTAAAACATGCAGCAAAATAAGAATGTGTTATACATGTACCGCCCCTTTAATGTACATTTTTAGCCCCAAATTCGCTATTTGTCTGTTCGATTATTAAAGGATGAATTTTATCTTATTTTTAAGTAGCATTAAATTTTTGATATTAGTTTGAAACGGTTAATATTGTAGTACAACACTGAGTTTATATATAACGTAATCTTTTCGTTAGTTCTGTAAAGTAATAATAAGTACACAATATGTAAATAGTACAAAGACGAAATTTGGGCTAGGCAATGGTTCTATATAATTTTAGAAACACAAACAAGTGATAAAGTGAGCGGTACTAGTATGCTTTGTTTCGATAAATTAAAAGCTCATTAATAAGAATTTAGTAAAGTTGCTTATTAGTTAAACGATTGTTTAATTACCTCTACTTTTGTACGAAGACATTGTGGAATTTCCCTTATGTCTTTATGATAACAATCGGCTGCTAACATACGATGAACTGTCTTATAATCGCATTGCGTACACAATTCGCCGTAAACTTTTGAGTAGAAAAATACGCTCAATAGCATATAAAATAATAGCTCGACTTTGGATAACATTTGCCTTCTGTTTATCTAAAAAAATTGGTTTATTTCGTGTTTTTAATTGTTTCAAATCAGTTATCTGCCACATATTTATTTATTTTTTTACTTATTTCAATAAAAAAATTCGTAAAGTATCAACAATTTAACTTTTAATCCAAAATAATGATTTAAATTTATTTGGAATTACGTAATTTATGTTTGGCAAGATAATATATCAGTAATTAGTGATTTCATAAAAAACACAAAAGTTCTGTAAACTTACCTTAAATCATTATTAAGAAAATAATCATATCACTAGAAATATTGTCCACATTTGATTAATAAAAAAAAAAAAAACATTTCACAACATATCTTCTAGACGCACTACTTAGAACTTAATAAACGTTAAATCGTACGTTAGTTTGCTTATTAAACGTTTTTAAGTATCTTAACTATCTAAATTGCCGAATCGACATAAAACGCGGTGCACACTCACATGTACTCAACTTACTTGCACAGCATTTTCTTAAAACATTGACGAACGTAATTTAAACTTTAAAATCAAAAATTAGCACTATCTATTCGGTGGTTTGTTGAATCGTTGCATAGTCGAAGTTAACTTCAATTGAAAGATTAAATGAGCTAACAATCCAATTAATGCTGGGGTTGGGCTTTAACCATTGTCATGATTTAATTCCCTTTCAGCCTTTCCTTTATATTAATTTATTGTAGCACTTTCGCACGGTTTGTTGTTTAGATATTTTAAAAACGGCCGTATGTTTTTACTTGGTTGATTATAAATTGTAAATAACTTAAAATTTCAATGTTTCTCATAAACTTAATCATTAAGTAAAGATTGTCTTTGTAATTATAGCGGAGGCAAAGGTTATTTTGATAAAATGAAAGAAAACAGATTATAAAATTTCACGTCTTATCTTTAAAGAAGTAATGACAAGATATATTATTCATGTACTTCACATAGCTTTCATATTTTAAAAAGTAAACAGAAAACTTAAATAGTTTTTAGGCCACCTATTTTTAGTATTGTGTTGTATTAAAAAATTAATAGTGGTTTTATCATNTATTTTTTCCCTGTATATTACTTAAAAGACTTGAATGTCTTTTATACTGTAAAAGAAATATTGAAAAATACTACTACAAAACCAGATAATGAAGAAATTTGTTTGTGTGTTTATTTACTGATAATAAGATAGTTGTTCGTAACATTTTAACTCATATAACAAAATACTGATTGTATGCTACATATTGTTTTTTCAATATAATTACAAGGTTCATTTTTCTAACAATGAAAGAACATACTAAACTGCTATTGATATTATTAAATTATTCTTCAAATTTGGTATTGTAAAAGGGAACATATTGAAGTACTACTTTCCAATCAGTAAAGTAAACTACCCCTAAACTAGCTGCAGTACCATAGGTAATTACGGGAGCTACCCTGTAAGAAAAATTACGTAAGTAAAGTACTATCACAAGAAAGGATTGAGTTTACCACTTTGTAGCAAGTTCAATATGTTTTTTTCCTAATCCACGGAGAAGTGACATGATTATAGTTGAAGTTTTCTTACTTAAAATGAGTGCCAATCACACTATTCCTCCTGTAGGCACGTTCCCCGCAGTTTTCTGTGTTTTGCGATTTTACTTCAACCTCTTCAAACGTTAACCTCACATCCACAGATTTAAACATCCTTAATCTATGATAAATATCCTATGAAAATGTAGTCCATAGATGTAGAAATTCATTCCTTTGATTAAATTATTATTCTGTTAATCAGTTTCGAATAATTATGTATTCCTCTTAACTGCATTTTTTCCAACGTAATGGGGAAGTCATTTATTTTATTATGCAGTTCAGAGATATCAGACACATTCTTCCATACATTTTGTTCATAACATTGCATAATATTAGTGGATAAGAGATATATTATACTCATCTATAAACTACAATTTCGTATCTATGATAATATTAAAAATCATAGATTAATTTAAAATACAAAATGGTGAATGGATAAACAAATTTGGTTATTAGTATTTACTTTCTTCAAGTGTGTAGTTATTTAAAACATTGGTAAGGATAGCAAAAAAATTTAATCAAAATATAGTAGCATAAAACTTAACTTAATTAGTAAAGCAATTTTTATATTACAAGAAACGGTTTCTTTCTGTAAATAATTTATAATCATTTGTTATCTATATTCACCAAAAAGGAGGTTCAACTTCTTTTTCGATTTTTTGAATTTTAATGAATTTGTACTTGTTATAAACAACTTCCCAACTCTCATTCATTATTATCATTTTGCATGCATTTTAATAATATTTCGTTTTCTTTTTCCATTATCATAGTTAAAGTGATGTTCCTTTATATTCACAGATTGGCCAATGAATGGCAGCAGTTATTTATTGTGCTATTCAAACAATAAATCATCTATGTACGTGCCTTTTATACTGTACATCATTTGCTGTTCTGGTTTTTGACTTGGAAATACTTTGGCAATTATAATGAAGGTAAGATTTCGTATTTTAAATGTTTCAAAGAAATTGTTTAGCAGGTCAAAAACTTGCATTATTGTCTCTATAATGTTCATGTATTTTTCATCATATGGATACGTTGATTTTTTTATACATTTCAATCGCTACTTACACACATTTTTTCTTAATTCTTTCTTAAAAAATTAATTCTTAATTGTTTTAGTACTTGAAACTATTCACTTATGGAGTTTTCTTCCTGTGTTTTGGGTTATTGACTGCGGAAGTGAAGACTGCTTTGTTCTTATACGAGAATTGTTCTTTCCAAATCATCAATACTACATTGAAAAGGTAAGATTTATTTTTTACACTCAATTTAAAAATGTCTTAACTTTTGAATAAATTATTCTCTCCCTTATTAAGCAATGTGAAGGTACCAAAATGTATTACAGCTGGTGTGGGGCATTATCGCAAAAGATTTTATACTTATGGATTATTGAGGTGCACTTTTATTCCCTAATTTAAAAATGTTTTTATTTCTTCATAAAGTAATTTCTCCTTTATTAAACGAAGTGAAAGTAGGTGTTTCATACGATTCGGAGAATCAGGATCGGCGGCTAGAATATCGCATGAAACGTCCTAGCAATCCTAATTAAAGGGTTGTAGGTTTTTGTTGGGGATTGAAAACACTGTTAATGTAGTAAAGTCTATTTACAATATATACAATGCCTTCAATCGGCGTACACTATGTGAAACAAGAACGGTGAATAAACGGTGAAATGAAACGGTGAATGAACGGTGAATAAAACGGTGAAATGAATCGTAACGTGCCACTTGGCAGCAACCTTCGTACTCTCCTTCTTGCTACTGATGGCACGCTACTTAAGGGTGAAAAGGTGGTGAGATAGAGAAAGACAGCACAAGTATTAGTAACCGGCAAGAGAAGGATAGGCGAATAGTGGTCGAAAGTACAGAAAAGTCATAAATAAAGGAGAAAACAAGGACAGATAGATAAGATGTAGAGAGAGACGATGAAATAGAAAGCGAGGTACTTGACAATTTACAACATACTCCCCCCGTTGAGAGGGTGAGTTACCCGATCAACATAAATGAAAATTAAACTTATAGTTAAAAGTAACTAAAATTAAATTGAAACAATTATTAATACAATATATAACTAAAGGAATTAACTTCGAGTCACTATTATTAAAATATTCAATCCTTATTACTATCACTTTGATTAATACTATCAATTGGTAACGGTGCTAATTGTTTTACACAACGTTTCACAGTCCCTTTCGCGGTTTTCACTGTCACTACGCGAATTACACCATCGACACCAGGATGGACATTCACTACGCGTCCCAGGGGCCAATGTAGAGGAGGCATGTTGTCTTCTCGTAGGAGAACAATGCTGTTTTCAACGATTGGATGTTGACCGCTGGTCCATTTACAACGATTAGAAAGTTCGTTGAGGTATTCGTTTTTCCAACGGTTCCAGAAATGTTGTTTTAATTTCTGAAGGAACTGCCAAACGGATAAACGGTTGGAGGGTACTTCTGAATAGTCTCGTTCGCGTAGGCTCGTTAACGAATCACCGGTAAGGAAATGGCTGGGTGTTAGAACTAGTAAGTCCTGAGGATCAGAGGATATGGGGGCTAAAGGGCGTGAATTCAGTATAGCTTCGATCTCGATAATCAGCGTATTGAATTGTTCTAGGTGAAGTAGGATGTTATGACCGACCACTCTTTTCAAATGATGTTTAAATGCCTTAACCCTTATAAGTTTATTAAATGATGAGAAGCGGGTAAAAATCGACCATAAATAATTATCGGCAGGATCATTTGGTTTTGTTAGAAAACATGATACCTTGCGTAACTCTGTAATAGGTGTTATTTCATTTATGGACCAATTATAGTTTGTATTTAACCATTCTGGACCATGTTGCCAAAGGGAAGGACGCACGAACTCCGCAGGTAGCAAGCCCCTTGAAGCAAGATCAGCCGGGTTGTCGTGTATCCGTACGTGGTACCAATCATTTATATTGGTATTTGCCTGGATATTTGAACATCTGTTTGAAACAAAAGGTAAAAGTCTTTTTGATGGAGTTCGAAGCCAATGTAAGACGATCATCGAATCCGTCCAAAAATATACACTATCCAACTTACAAGGAATGGCGTCCTTTACGATGTTATATAATTTAGTAAGCAATGCAGCCCCGCATAATTCCAGCTTCGGAATTGTCAGCCTTTTAAGTGGCGCAACCTTTGACTTAGCGCATAATAACTCGGTGTACACCTTATTGTCCCAATCGACAGACCTTAAGTACATACAAGCCCCATATGCGTTTTCACTAGCGTCGCAAAAACCATGTAGTTGAATTGACCGGGCGTTGCTAATGACAGTTTTCCTTTTAAAGGAAAGGTTATTGAGCGCAGGAAGTTGATTATAATATTGGACCCATTTACAGTGAAGATCCATCGGTAACGTTTCATCCCAATCTAGCTTAAGTGACCATAGCCTCTGTATTAGAATTTTCGCTACTATAATCACTGGTGATAAAAGACCAAGTGGGTCAAAAATGCTGGCTGTTTGAGATAGTATTTGGCGCTTGGTAACACGGTCACTCAAATTACATGCTCGTACTTTATATATAATACTATCAGATGTTGAATCCCACGAAACGCCTAATGTTTTAATTGTAGACGATTGCCCAATTTGAAGATGGGGGTTAATACTTTCTTTAGGCAGATCCTTTAGTAAATTAGGATCATTAGAAGCCCATTGTCTTATTTTCAATTGACCTCGTTCTAACAGATTGATAAGCTCATCTCTTATAGTGACTGCCTCTTCTACTGTATCTGCTCCGGTTATTGCGTCATCCACATACATATCTTCCTTGACGATTCTGGAAGCTATAGGAAAATCAGCTGCTTCATCATCAGCTAACTGATGTAAACAAGCAATAGCGAGAAACGGTGCGGGCCCAACTCCAAAAGTAACAGTGTTCAATTCATATGTTTGAATTTTATTGTCGTCATTTCTCCACAAAATTCGTTGGTAGCGTCTGTCTTCGGGGCGAACTAAAAATTGTCTATACATTTTTTCAATGTCACCTGTAATAACGATTTGATGTATTCGAAATCGCAGCAACAAAGAGAAAAGATCACTCTGTATAGTAGGTCCCACCATCAGGGTATCATTTAATGATATGCCTGTGGTGGACTTGGCTGAGCCATCAAAGACAACACGGACCTTTGTAGTTAAGCTACCTTCTTTCATTACTGCGTGGTGAGGAAAGTAATAACTTGAATCTTTTGTTTGTTCATCAGTGACCTTTGACATATGACCTAGAGTTAAGTATTCTTTAAGAACGGCGTGATATTGATCCCTTAATTCAGCATCCCTTGTTAATTTTCTCTCTAGATTATACAATCGTTTTAATGCAATTGCATATGATTCACCTAGATCTGCTTTTCTTTCATTGAACGGCAAGGCGACTACATAACGGCCATCCTGATTACGGGTGACGTGTTGTTGAAAATGTTGAATACATGTTTGTTCTTCAGAGGTGAATGTTTTACCTGGTGATCCTTCTTCAACTTCCCAGAATTTCGCTAAGTCGAAATATATTTCGTTTGTCATATGACATGTACGAGTTGGTGATACTTTTACTGACGGCGCGCTCCCCCCGATGACCCATCCAAGTCGTGTTTTTTGTAAATACAATTCGATTCCCTTATCTGATTGTATTTGCATCTGTCCTACACAAAACAATGACAAGGCGACCCCGGCTCCAAGTAATAAATCTATTTCTGCAGGTTCATGGAAGTTAGGATCGGCTAATTTCAAATTATGAGGAATCTTAATATTTTCTCTATGTATAGGTTGGTCAGGTATACGCTGAGATATAGAAGGAACTACCAAAAATGTAAGTGATCGTTCGTATCTATTGTCCCTTGATTTTATGACTGCGTTGACGGTACCCCGTGCGACAGTTGTTAATGTGTTTAAGGCACCGATGGAAACATTACATTTTTCTATCTTGAGTCCTAAGGCATTTGCTAAATCTTCAGTCATAAAGTTCGATGTGGCACAAGTGTCAATAAGGGTGCGAGCTTGAATTGATTTGTCTCGGCAATTGAAAACTTGGACGACAGCAGTAACCATTAAATCACTCGTTGCTGAATTGACTACAAGTGCAACAGACCTGTCAGGTTTATGAGGGGCATCTTCCGCCCTTTGTGAAGTGGGCAATGATGTATTTTCCTTTAGAGTCGGCGATGGAGACGAAGTGGGTGTATTTCCATTAATTTTGGACCGTTGACCTTTTTCTGCATGTCGGTGTAAGA